TATATATGTATGTATATGTATCTGTATCGTTTGTTTGTCTATCTGTCCATCTAAACCTCTAGTGATTTCAAGGTGTTGGGATGATTAGCAATACTGTCCTGTTACATTCCCTCTGTATTTATGCGCCCTAATTGGGGATCCCTCGCGCGCGAGGTCCGGTCGGTTCCTCTCGGAGGGCCTCGCCACGACGGCACACAGAGTCGCTGGACGGCGCGCTGTCGAAGTTTCAGGGTTTTGGGTTTAGGGCTCCCTATAATAGGGCTCCAGGTACCGAAAAAGTAGGTTACTAGCCGTAGAGCATGTAACCCAGTAACCCAAATTATACGTAGCTGGAGCCCTCAGGGGTTCAATCTCCTACAAGGCGCTTGAGAGAGCCTTGCGCAAAGGGCTGACATCACATGATTCGTGGTGCTTGCGAGCCAGCAGGATCATCCTGCTTGAGCAGTTTATCTCGGGCATGTGCATGTGCAAAAGGGCTTACACACTCGTAGAGTCGTAGAGGTCCTGGCTGGATAGTCGGATAGACTATGATCCTCTTCCAGAGTGTCCACGATCATAATTTAACTGGCTTTCAGCTTCAGTGGCACTTTGCGTAAGTGGTCGTAGCGTGGAAAATTTGCCGCTACAGCAGTCACTGCAGGTGCTATAGCAAGGTCGGAAGTTTACATGCGAGCAAAGGTATTTTGCATGATGTAGTGCGGGTGTTCTGGATAATTAAGCATGTTTTCGTTCGTGCAGGGAGACCGCTGGGATAGAGCACTGATATATAGTGGAATCTGCCCGAATCTAAATGTTGCCCGTTCCATGGTGCGTTGTGAACGCAGGGCCGCTGCTTTCGCACGCGCCGTTGGAAGATCTCTTCGCCGGTTCCTGAGTTCATGTGCTCCTGGCACGAATCTAGACTTTAGCGCAGAATGCACCGCAGTGGCATTCTAGCCCGAATCATGTGAAACGAGCATCCCAGGGTGCCAGAGGCCACATTGATCCAAAGACGGAACTATGTGCCGCGCATGCCGGCTTTGGGCCAGTTATTGGCTCGATTCTCTTTCATGACAAGCTTCCCATCTCCCATCATACCTGTTGGACTGGGTTCTCGAGCAGAGGAAGAAGTATATGTAGTTATTTATATATTTATTTGTTTTTATATTTATAGTTATAACTATATTTATATTTATATTCTGTTTATTGATGTAGATATACTTGTGGACATATATATATATGTGCCAATTATATGTTTGCTTTTTCAGTCCCACCACTGCCACTTGCGACTGAAGATGACTGAAGCCACATGTCAAGATGCTCAAGTACTGTTTCAAAACTTAGACAGTTAAAGCGGCAACACCGCAGCACCTCTTGTTTTTTTGGCAAGCCAGCCATGGGCGCTATTTGTACAGTGGAGCAGGCCGACGAGCTGGAAGCCCAGAATGTCCGTGCACAGTGTGGCAGACAGGAGAGTTGAAATGCTACACGAAGAGGCGAGCATACCACTTGCAGCTCAGACCGGGCAATATATGTAATCCTTGAGACAAGCTCGCATCTAAATCCTCTGACACGCAGTGTAGGTCAGATGCGTAGCGGGGGAGGAGAGTCGGCAGTAAGCGTGCGAAACCTTCGCACGGACCATCATGAGCATCGTTGCTGAGGAAGGGATCAATGGCCTGGGCCTCGGCGCATCGCAATGGGGAGACTTTGCACAGTTGGAATCGCAAGCGTGCTCGAAGCAACATTGAGCGAAATGAACTGTCCTCCCAAATCGGCTCCTGCACTACTCACGGGCATGTTGGGGTTTCACGTCATAGCCGGGTACGATAGTTTGCAACTTCTTCCCGCTACCTCCAGTCTTATGCACATTGAAATGCTCGCTTCCATGACTTCCAAAAAATCCGGTCAGGTCCGTCTGTTTAACAGCTGCGGAGCTTGCAGCCTCTTCTACATGAGCTTCCGTAGCAAGCTTGGATTCTGCCATCAGGTCTTCACGCCAAGCTGCAAAGCCAATGACTGCAAAGCCGAAGAGGCAGGGACACATCGAATTAGGTTTCTAGAGCTGAAGCGGCAGAGCTCGCTCTCCCTTTGTTTCGGAACGAATCGGCGCCCTTTTCCAGAGGAGACTCGGCTTCGTAAAGTTTTACCTCGCAAAGTTGTCTTGTGCATGATATGGGCGTATCGAAATCTGCATGTATTACCACAGCCTGAGCTACGCCTATGAGTTGTAGGGGCTCCCGGTCGTTATACTAGCGAAGAAAACAAGAAAAATCAACACACCTTGCCTGTGCAAACCCAGTACACAGCTCCGCGGTCCCAAAGCCTTTGTGCAACTTTTGTCACATGTTGAAATCCTGCGTCCTGACGCAGGCTTCCACTCCGTACCCGGAGCTGTATGAATGGAAGGAGGCGCTCCAGCCGTGCGCAGCTGACTTCAGATGCATAGGAGCTCTGGAAACTGTACGAAGCCTGTTGTTGATCTGATGATGCAGACATGTTTGATCTTGCAAAGATGGTAAAGCTGACAGTGGCGATGCTGACGATTGTCAATTGTTGCGACTGTTCCTGTTGCTGTTACTGCTGCTGCTGCTGCTGCTGGCGCTGGCACTGGTGCAACTCGTGTGGCTGGTGGTGCTGGTGGTGATTGTTTGTTTGTTTGTTTGTGTGTGTGTGTGTAGCAGTACTTGTTGTTCTGGTTATTGTTATTGCCAGTGTTGTTGGTGCCGGTGGTGCTGGTGGTGGCGGTGGTGTCGTTCTTGTTCTTGAGTCTTGTTGCTAGTTACACAGGCAGCGGTGGAAGAGATACCAAAGATGAGACTAGCAATCGTCCTTTAACGCATGCAGATGTGTGACCAGGACCGTGGCACTGGCCCTTCGGCACCCAGACTGGAGGCAGCAGATCTTGTAAAGCGTTTATAGGCTCCAGACTCTCGGTGCAAGACTCGCTTCTGTAGTCGCCCAAACCCCAAAATGCAGACGCTTGTTCCTTCTATGCGTAGGGCGCAGGAACCTTCCGATTCGTCTTCCGAGTCAGGGTGAGGCAGCAGAGACGGCAGGCACGAACTTACTGGAGTGGGGTCAAACCATTCGGCAATTTTAACGCCTTCCTATACACAACTAAGCCCAGAGCTGTGACATGGAGGATCACTGCGACAGCCTTGCAGCCTTGCAGAAGCGGCATGTCCGCCACTCAAGGGCACCACACTTTGTTTTTTTAGAGGCTATAGCACATAAGGGTCCAGAGATGTCCAGAGATGTTCAGCAGCGATTGGTCTTCAATTTTCTTCTGTGGTGGAGGATCGATCCATGCAGTCTTTTCATGTTCAGGACTTATAACCAAAGTTTGAAAGTTCGGATATCGCTTCACCAGATCTGAGCCAAGTGCGGAATTGGTGCAACATCCGGGCTCTGCTGCGCAGCAGAGCTGCACAGGCGCCGATGACGCATGCCGCGACGCTCCATCCGCTGTCGAAGACGAAACCTTGGGACAAGGACGAGCCCGCTTGGCAGCTGCATGCAGCTGACCGGAGCGCAACCCATCAAAGCTTCTCCTCAAGATATGTCGCCGGTCTGACCTGCCTCTGTAACCCACGATGCTTCTGCCAAGCCGCCGGCGCCTGACAAGATCGGAGCATTTTGTAGTCTGGTTGACTCAAGGCAGTCCATACCTCAAGTACAAAACGGTCCACCTGTTTACCCTGCCAGGAGAAGACGATGTCCACCAAGCATTCCATGCCTTCCTCCGAGTACATGGGCCCCATCGACAGCGGTATCTCCAACATGTAAGGCAAGTGCTTTTTGCAGGTTGGGGAGGGACCTGTCTACTGGTGCGAGCTTGGTCTAGAGTCTAGGGTTTGTCCAGGCGTTGTTCATAAATCCCCCGGAGGCGCGCGGCGTGGAGCCGAGTTTAAAAGCAACGCCGTTCCCAAATACCGCCGCCCTTCTCCATAGTCTAGTCATAATGGCACGCATTGCCATTGTCACTGTACCAGTACCTATTGTTCATCTTGACCTTCATTTTTGCTGCCATATATCTTGCTCTTGCGCTGGTCATGCCTGTGGTCGATTTGCCCCAGGTGGTGCAGGAGTGTGGTGGCTTCCTGTTATTGTCAATGCCTTTTTTGTTTTTGATTGCTATGACATGTAGAAAAGCATAGAATCAGAACGCATCGGGAGTTTGCTCGGCAATGGCTGGCTCCACGAGCTTGCCTTGTAGATCCGTTGTAGGCAATCTAGGTAGCTCTGTAGGGTTCAGGTATCTGGTTAAGTACAGGAGAGCACTACTTTGTGCAGGGGTCTTTAGTCACCCTGTCGGCAAGCATGCCAAGAATGGAATCATCCGAGCCCTTCATATTCCTGCGCCCTGTTCTCCTAGCCTTGTGCATACGGGTGTACGCTCTTTCGGCCGGCTGCCGGTACCGGAAGCATGTTTACACCCACATGCATATCCATGCATTTGTATATATATATATATGTATATATATATATGTATATATATATATATGTATATATATATGTTAATTATACATATTGTATATATATACATACACACGTGCATATGTTTTGTGCCTGTATTTTTTGTATGCACACATGTATACATGTCTGTTGTAAGCTGCAAGCTAGAGCCTCTGTCCGTCTCTCTCGCTGCTTCCTTCTTTCTCTACATGTGCAACCATGTGTATACATACGGTATCATTTGTACATGTTTGATTGTATTACGACATACTATAGATACGGGCACGTGCGATGCAAGCGTGTGTGCGTGTGTGCGCACCTATCTTCTTTGATTCTCGCCGCGGCTGTTCAGCGACCAGTCCGTCCCAACTCAACAGCGGAGCCCCGGTTCCTAGGGACTCAAAGTGTCCGACACCACGGCAGAGATGCGCCACTGAGCTGCAGTCGTTTCCTCTTTGGGTCCGGCAATGGGTAAATGTCGTATTGGGCTATTGAAAGAACCCCGAAGGGTAAGACCAAGGATTGGCTGTGCGTATGTTTGGCATAGCTGGGAAGAATGGCTCCAGGTTAGCAAGCAAGGGGTAAGGCAGTGCCTGCCAAGGCAATTTCAATTCGTCGATAAACATTTGGTGTTTAGTCTGTTCCTGTGTCGCATCGGGCTTCTCAGGTAAGACAGCATTGATCACGGGCATCACCGGACAGGCTCGCTCCCCGAATAGTGTTCGTCATGTGGCCACGTGATCCGACGTAGACACCTGTCAGGATGGATCCTACCTCGCGGAGTTTCTGTTGGAGAAGGGCTACTGCGTCCACGGCATCATCCGAAGATCGTCATCGTTTAACACAGCCCGGAGCTCAGAACCAGATCCGGCAGAGAGAAAGAGTAAGAGGATACACCGGTGTGTCAAGGTCGGTCTATCTATGCATCCATCCATCCATCCATTTGTCTGTCTATTTGTTTATCTACCTATCATTATCTATCTATTTATCTATCTGTTTGTCTGTCTATCTATCTAGCTATCTGTCTATCTATATATCCATCCATCCATCCATCCATCCATCCATCTATCTATCTATCTAGCTATCCATCTATCTATCTATCCATCCAGACGAGATGACTCTAGAATGTTTAAGTAGATGTGTCTAAGAAATATATATATATATATTTTTTTTTGATTGATATTGTCAAGTGTGGCCGCCACGAGGAACTGCAGCAAATCCGACAAGCTGATGCACTGAGTATGCAAATCCGGACTACAAGCATCACTACTGTCAAAGTATGCGGCGGTGTGGTGCGCTTCCGCTGATGCTCCCCAGTCGGTGTTTCTAGCGAAGAACGATGCGAAGACATGAAAGCCCACCGTTGTCAGACGCTGGACCCTGTGCACTCTAGCTTCTGGCCTGAAGCTCTAGTTGTGCTCGCAGCCACTCTACCCTTGTCCGCAGTTTCCATAGTCGAAGGCACGCATCGATCACATCTTCGACAAGGCGGACCGCGGGCTTGTGTTAGATTACAGGCGAGCGTAGGACTGCACGCGCAGGCATTTGCAGTTAGGAGTGTTGGGACCGCGATGTGCCAGCCGAAAGAACCAAGAGAAGAGCCTCGGCCATCTCGCACCGGCATGCTACTTCAAATCGCATTGCTCCGATCTTTCAAATTTGTAGGCAAGAATACCCATACGGAGCAATGCTGATGCTGGTACTACCATGTGCGCGTGGTGAAGAATGCTCCAACAAGCAGAACAGCAGTTATGATCTGACCGCAGCTTTGAAGCCTCCTGGAGGTGAACCTGCACTATGGCGACCTCGTCGACTCTAGCAACCTAGCCTCCATCATGGCCAAGGCGTGAGAGAACATTTATTCTTCGCAAGGGAGATGGCTTTAACTTCTCTCTTTCGGGGCTGCGAAAAGTTCTGGGTGTTCCTTAGGATCTGTTTTTGCACCCCATTTATGGAATAAACATGTATGACTCCAAGAGGGGCTCATAAGCTGGGCGGCGTTCAGGACATTGACATAAATATATGATAACATATCTGGTTGCGCGTGTGCCGTGAGTGCTTTTGCGCGGGAGGTTTCTGTGCTGCTTGTATAAGGAGATACATGAAGATCCAGGTTTCAACAGAGCGCGTTTGTTGTTGTTGGCGCCAACACCTGTTCTAGAAGGTTATTCGCCGTCAGGCACTTCGTGGGTGTGCATGGGTGTGTCTTCGGTATGTTTATTGGATCGACAACAGCTGTTTAGTCTAAGGATTCTAAGGCCCAGACTGTTCTGACGGTTCGCAGCCTTACTTTTTTCGAAAATGGCAACAACCAAGACACCAACAACAGCAGCAACGCCCGCCCCTCACCCCTCGTGTAAGCAGACTTCTGTCTCTACCCTCCCAACTAAAGCTGCATCGATTATACCACGACCGGGATAACTTCCGTCCTTGACAGCAAGATACAGCAACTGCGACACCGAGGACCACGACGGGTCTGTTTCCTGCTTCAACATCGCTTTCCACAAGAAGGGAGCTATAATCCTAACAAGGGCGCAGAACGACTCGTTGCTGTCATGGCCTCTACAATCGCCACCCGCGCAAGAAGCAGTATTTGCGGTCGCCAACACACTCGTAGTCGTAGCTGCAGCAATCCTAGTAGCAGTCCTCGTCGTAGTTGTTGTTGGTCTAGTATAGCTCATGGTCTGAAAAGCGCAGAATGCTGAGCGTAGTCGCACTACTACCAAACGGCTTTCGACTTCGGTGTCTACCGATCTCAGTCGCCTGGCAGGTCAAGCCTGATGAAGTTGCTTGGCTTTCTCGCATATTGGAGTTATGGGCAGTTATGGGATCTCATATGCAGCTAGACGGTGGCTATGGTTTCACCCATTTCTCCTATGATTGATGTATGTCAAAGCGGACAGCATGAAACGATGTAGGGTAGTGGTTTCATGGCTTTGGGCGGATAGCCTTTTTCAGACTTCAAGTTGCTCGCATGAGCGGGTTGGCACGACAGGGGAAAGGACTTGGTCGCTTGAGTTGAGAGTGAACTAGTTTCGCCATGCTTTGCGAAGCCAACTCAACCTTCTCGACTTCGCCAAAGTTTGTGGCCACAAGGTCATAGGTGTGGCTCTAGCTGCTAACGCCAAAGCCGAAGAGCGCAAGGTCTACAATCTGGCAGCACAGTCCCACGTCAAGGCGCAACCAGCCCTAGGGTTTCACACGGTTGCGTTGAGGTCGGGTCCTGCTCGGTGGTCCAATTTCTCATAGCGTGTCCTGTTCAGCGACTGAGATGTAAGCGAACACTTGTTTCAACACGCCAGCTTGTCTTTGTGCCGTTTGTGGCGGTTGAGCTGATTCTGGCAAGACGAGAAGATATGAGTTCAAACGGGATGGCGTTCCCTCAGGGTCTCGTTTCCACCACAGCTTCAATGTAAGCACCAGCTGCTATCCCAACTTGTAAGTCCAAGTTGTGCCTACACTGTGTGTTCCACCTTCAACATATATAGAATTTCGAAGGCGGGAGACCTGATACTGCAAGAAGTGCCATGGTCTTGCAAAGTATTCCCTTAGTTTGGTTTATCGGCATGGCCTTCGAACGGATGGTGCAGGCTGCTGTAGTAGCTTGGTGCTTCGATAGCGGCCGACAGTAACCACAGGTCTCTTTCGAAGAGCCGGAGTACACGGCACAGGCTGATGGTGTCTCGGCTGCAAGCCTGTGAAATATGTTCACTGATGGACGATAGCAGCCACGAGTCCGTGCAAGCGTCTCGCTTGACATCAATAGCGAGGACAGGCAGGCGTAATTACGAATAGGTATCAGTGCAAACAACCAAACAACTGGGTCGAGCGCCCGGTAGTACTATGCAGAAGAGCCGGTCTTATGATAATACCAGTCGTGTGTGTGGTTTCACGCCAGCGAGTTTTCGTACTTCGAGCAATCGAGTGCAGCAGATGTTGCATCATAAAGGGCTTGGCGTGGCTGAAATCTGCACTTCCGGGCCTTCGGCAGACCCTGACCTGAAGCATAGGAGTACTTACGAGTCGCGAGGGCCCAAGTACTGGCGAGTTTATACTGTAGGAGCCCTGATCTGTGCAAAAGCTTCATATAGGCTGCAGCCGATACGTCTCGCAAAGCCGTTCTTTTGCTTGTAATTCGGGTGGTTTCTGGATTATACAAGGACTAGTTCTGGCACACAAGTGCTTCAGGGACCTGGGTGGGTGCTTTTGTGCACACAAGGCGTGGGAACTCTTCGACTTCTGGAAGCAATCCGCACAGCACCACGGCTGCAGCTACAGCTTTGCCTTGGAATTCTCTGCCCATGTGCAGATGCTCCACCTGCAATGCGGTG